TCACATAAAACAATTGTGGTGTCTCACTTCTGAATTGAATTGAGAGGATAAATTCAATAGCAAGGTGACAGATAACATGGGCTTGGTTTGCAGAAACTGAACCAGACAAACTGGGGGAAAAAAAATCTGCACAAAAAACCCTCTAAAAATATAATTTAGGTATGACTTTATCCATGTTAATCCAGGAAAATCATTGGAGTGTGATCCTCCTTCCTTAAAGGATTTTGTATTTTAAACAAAATTTTACATATATAAACCCCCCAGAAAATCGTAATTAAACAACCCCATTTTCAATCATTAAGAAACAGTATTTTACACGTTATTCTGAGTGACCGCATTATGTTCTTGAAAGATTTTTTTAGTTCTAAAAACAGTTAAAAAATTAAGTAATAAAACTGTGAAAGCTGAGAACATTTAACATACATAAAAAGTGTTCATTAAGTTCTGTATGCATTATCGTGTTACGAGCAGATTGATCACAACTTTTAGATTTCAGCAAACAATGTTTACTAACTTTTGGTGACTGTTGATCTAAGAGCATAGTGTCAATGTGACCTTGTTCAAGGAAACACTATGCTCTATAACATACTGCACACGCATTAACTCCGTATCTGAAAGATGTATGCATAATTTCTGTTTCAAAAAGCCTGAGGCACATGTTCAATAGCTCTATATCTAAGTTAAACATTTGACTAAGTGTTTTATATGGCACAGACTGTAATAGTTAGGTTACTATTTCAAGTGTGTATTACAGTCTGTTGACTCTGAAAACAATTCCAAAATAAATTTTAAAGTGATACAGGAAACTACATTTTAAAATGTAATCTTGTCCTTAACTTCCAGAGTGACTACCTGAACTCCCAGAAGGACTTCCACCACAGATTCAATAACTATCCCGTCTCCACACTACCTCTAGCATGCTATTACACCAATAATAACTTCTTAGACAGGAGAGTCAACATCAAAAATTGGTAATGGTGCCTTTTTCAACGCCCCAAAAGTGAGGTTAAATAGATACTATATACTGCTAGGTCATTCTTTTATTCCATCATTTCTAAAAGCATGATTTTTATCAAATGGCAGACTTCCAAACAAGCAGGCACCAAAGATGGCCCATGCAAGAATCAGGAAGCCAGTTAGAACAGAAGTTTCAAAACATCAATCACTTGGGCCCCACCAAAATCTACAGACCACCACAGATCAGCACTAACTTACAATCTACAAGATCCCATCAAATACAAAAAGAGTGAGTAGAAACAGTCTTGCTTGTTCTTTTAATGTTAGTAGTCTGTTGGAGAATTAAACACAACAATAGGTGAGAACATTCTATTCAAAAGTGCAAATTTTAAACTGACAATTTCCATGACACATACAATTCTTCCTGAAGAACAGGAAGCAGGAGGCAGCAGAAAACTCCTGATCTTCAGGGCTTCTGCTACAGAATACACATCACCAAACTCCGCTATCTGGAAGCAAAGTTGTTTCTCTTCCTGCTAATTGAAAGTCCTACCCTGCACATTTTAGCATGTGACTTAGTACTGATAGTTTGAGTTTTCTCTTCTTACTGTACTCAAAAATATGGGTCAAACAAAATACAGTTCTATGTAAAAATGTATTATAAGTTTTATTTGTATTCGTAAGTTGCTGTTTTAGACAAACCTCTTTTTCAACTCTTTTCAGTCTAAATAGTTAGAAGCTTCAAAATTTGTCCCAAGCACTTCATCTAACAAGCTCGCTCTCCAACATAAACCACCACTAAAAAATTCTCTTTGCTCTTTCAAAAATCTTTGGCCAGGGAGTTTTATATTTTGGCGAGACAGTTCAAAGCATTTACCATTCAGGCAATAAGAAACAATCCCTCTCTCTCAACACTGCTACAGTGTCTGACTGTTTGTTTGCCTTAGAGTTTTCACACTTTAATGTTATTTTTAAACTTGAATCTTTCAGTATACTGCTACTTAAGGTGTGAAGCAAGAAAGAAAGGTTTACTTCCAAGGGAGGTAAGTTACTTAGAAAAAATCGTCACACGTTAATTACAGTTGCCTTACTAAAAGTCCTCCATCCATGACAGTTTCCTCTCACATTCTTGTGCCTTTCCCTATTACCAATACAGTATTTTTAACAATTCCACTAAAAGCAGATAAATACATGTATTTAATGTTGTCAGCTCTTCACATAAAGTTTCTATTGAGGCAAACTATGTTTTTTCGAAAGAGAACTCTGATAGAAAGACTGCTTCATCCTCCCTGTACCTAGACTCCATAAAGCCTTTCAAATCTAGTACTACAGCAAATACTGTTGAGATAAACCAAGGAATACTTAATTCTTCATCTTGGGGTTTTCCATTTCCTTGAATTAGACAAAATCTGCATATGCATTCAATTTTTTCTTAAACACTTATTTTGTGATCTGCATATCACTGGGCACATGGATTGCTTTATTTCGTGTGTGAGCTGCCACAGAAAAAACTGAGAAGAAAACTGAGCAGTGAGACAACTGTCTGTGGGACTTTCCACAAAGTGGTAAGCATTCCCATGAGCCAAGCCAGAATGCCTGGAAAGGAAGAACCCTCTGCTCTGAGCACAGGAAAGTAATTTCCTAGTTTCACGAAGCACAACATTTTGTGATATACACCTTGTAGCACGTAAATATATGTTCATTACCTAGTTCATATGATCTAGTTTAAAGTATATGAGTATGAAGGTGAAGACTGCAGAATTGTTGTTTGGGCTGCTGGATATCTATATTCTCTGGTGAATGTTTTTACTGCATCATTACAGAATCTGACAAAGTCCTTTGGGAAACCGTTGCTGTTTACAATTTAGCAGACTATCAATACTGCTCTGTAGGCTCATAGGTGAAATTAATGCGCAAGAATAGCTTGTTTTGAAACAGCTTTCTTGAATTTCACAGTAGCGGGGAAGAGAACTGCCACACACCTCTTAGACGGACACTTCTCCAGCTTACATCCATGCTATAAACCTCGTCCCCTGGGATGAAGTGAAAACACAGATTCTGCTAGCTCAAAAAAAGAGACTGAATACACAGTGTAAACAAGCAAACAGCAGGATTTTCTTTTTGAACTATGCTCATCACGTCACTCTCCAAAGTCACATAACAACGCCTCTGCACAAACAGACGTGGCAGGGGCACACAGGGCCGGGCATCTGGGCACATACTGGCAGACAGGAGGCAAGGCCATGAAAGAAAATGCTGTGGCCCATATGGATCCTATAGATTGGATTTCGGTTCAAAAAACATACTGTCATTCTTAAAATACAGCAGTTAGCACCAGTAGAAGCATATGTATGGAAATCCACAACATTCAAACATTCTGCACTTCAGAAAATTTTTGCATTTTGAAAGAACATGTACCAGAAGAGGATTCTATTTGTTAATAAACAATTTCTAATCCTAGCATATGTACAATACACAACACTTTGGTGTTTTTTTTTTCCTTCTTCATTAGTTCTGGTTCATTTTACTCTATGCCCCATTGCTGCATAAAGACAGAATGTGCTGGGGGAATGCTGCTAATTAGCGCCTTGGATATAAACAAACTGTTGGCTACCAGAAAGCATGGCAACCGCTTCCCCATGATGCTATTTGGAAGAGTTCTGATCCCCTTCTTGGTTCCGAATACAGAATGAGAACATTATCAGTATATATCCAAAAATCTACCAAATCACTCTTCGACCTTAATCAAAGGAAATGCGGACTAAAACATGTCTCCCAGCTGGTTACCATTGTCTTTGTGCACCAAAATCCAACAATGAAAAGATGACAGACTAGGTTACATTATATCCACTTCATTATTTTTAGAAGCATCCTTCTGAATATTGTGAAGAATTCACATGTATGTGATAACAGTTGTGTGCAAATATGAGGCTATGATAAATACTGATTATTAAAAAAATCCAGAAAACATGTGGGATTCATTTAGTTTTTATAAGGTTATCAGACTGGCCAAACCATGGACAAAACATCTCATTCCTGCATTTAATAATTAAGTCACATCCATCTTTCAACAAAAATTTAGATGCAAACAAAAAACCTCATTAAAAATAAATTAGTATCTGCCAACAGGAAAGCAGAGCTATTAGGACTAAACCAGTATTCTATAGAACAAAATTAGCACTGAATGCAACAATATGAGGCTAAACTTAACTAACAATATCACCTGCAACAACTTACCAAGAAAGTTTTTCCTTCACAGGTCTTGTATAACACAAATATACTGTATGTTTATCAAATACTAGGGTGTTTGCTGAAAACTAACTCTGCCTAAATGTAGCAACTATCACCACAAATCTCACTGATAATAAAAGTAGTGATAGGAAAAGAGAGAGTATTTGCAACTTTTATCATTGCCCCTAAAAAAAACCTATATAATGAGATCAAACCAGCACTGTAAAATGAAATGCAATCAGTATTTTCTACAATAATCCATGTAATTGCTGAAAATTCTATGAAGAATTGCCCAAAAAAAGACAACAGCAAATGTCCTTTAAAAATACAGGGATCAACCCAAAACCTGAAAACGTAATCAGTTTAAAGACATAGAGGGGACGCTGATAAACACAAACCACATGCATGCAGGAAAAAACCCAAAAAACAAACACCCCAAACTCCAAACTAATCACCCTTTTTAAAACTGAAATTCTAACCAAATATTTGAAAAAATGAAATTTCTAAAGTAGTTGTTGCAAAACCAAACTGTCTATGAGAACAAAAATATTCATTTTTTACAACTACTTAGAAACATATTTTTATTAAAAAAGGCCACATAGAATTACTTCAGGACATCATGAAACAGAACTTTTACAAGTTCCATTTCAATTTGCATATTCAAATTAAAAAAACCACTTTACAATAGTGGATGTGAATGCAATTGTATATATATACACACACACACTCATATGTTTATAACTATATCTATATATCTATCTGTGGGGGGTCATATGTGACCCCACTGCTACTAAAACGGAAGAAAAACTCACCTTGTGACAAACTTCTGATTTAATTTCTTTGAGAGCACGTTCAGAGAACACACAGCCACAGTTCCTCAAGAAGCAAAACCTTCAAAGAAAAGAAGACGAGACAGGCAAGTGTTTTTAAGAAAACCTGCACCTAAAGGATATCTGCAGTGCTGATTTAACACAGAAACAATACTGCAGTGGGCTAGCAGGACACAGCTATCTTTCTCTTTACAGTCTTGCAGCTAGTCAAGGTATCAGCACCTTAACTAGGTACTTACTAATCTGCACAATATAAGAATCAAATGAAAAATATGGGGTACATTAAACCACAACACGTATTTTGTTACTTTATTCTCAGTATAATTCAGCATAGATTTATGACAATCTCTCAAGGGAATCTTAGCAAAAACGGATGCTCTTGAGATGTTTTTGTACATTTGCTATAGGTCTAAACAGGCTTCTCTGGAATCATCACCACAATCTGTTTTACTACAAAATTATACTGTTTGAATGGTTCCACCTTCCACCAAGCTTATTGGTTTCACTTACTCTGACTCAAGCTCTTCAGCAAAGCTGTCACAAGCAACCCTAGCCAGGGTCTGTTCTCCCACGTCTCTCCTGTCCACATGGAAGATTCTTGCAAGACTGTGTCAAGCAATCACGCACATGGTTCATGTGATCTCCATTTCCTGAGAGCTACTGTTAATCCTTTCCTCCCTATCACTCTCAATTGAATCAAAAAATACTAAGGTGGCTCTGGTAAAAACGGGTTTACTTTTCAGGTTCTCTCTTTAATTTCACCTGAATATGTTCTCACCAACAAGGAGGGGCTGGTGGGGAATGTGAAGCTCAAGGAAAGCCTTGGCTGCAGTGACCATGAAATGGTGGAATTCAAGATCCTTAGGGCACCGAGGAAGCGCACAGCAAACTTACTACCCTGGACTTCAGGAGAGCAGACTTTGGCCTCTTCAGGGATCTGCTTGGTAGAGTACCATGGGACAAAGCCTTGGAGGGAAGAGGGGCCCAAGAAAGCTGGTTAATATTCAAGGATCCCCTCTTCCAAGCTCAAGAGCGATGAATCCCAACAAAGAGGAAGTCAGGCAAAAATGCCAGGAGGCCTGCATGGATGAACAAGGAGCTCCTGGACAAACTCAAACACAAAAAGAAAGCCTGTAGAGCATGGAAGCAAGGACAGGGAGGAATACAGAGAAATTATCTGAGCAACCAGGGATCAGCTTAGGAAAGCTAAAGCCAAAGCCCTGATAGAATTGAATCTGGCCAGGGACGTCAAGGGCAACAAGAAAAGCTTCTATAGGTAGGTTGGTGATAAAAGGAAGACTAGGGAAAATGCGGGTGCTCTCTGGAAGGAAACGGGACACCTTGTTACCTGGGATATGGAGAAGGCTGAGGTACTCAATGACTTTTTTGCCTCAGTC